TCCCTGCCCCAACCCATCAGATTATCACCTACTCTCCTCTCCTTTAGGCGCACCCTGAAAACCCACCTCTTCAGGGAAGCCTACCCCACGCCCTGCTAACTTGACCGACCAACTCCACTCTTCCTACCACTCCATCCCCCACAGCTATTTTCTCCTGTGCCACCATCCCCTCCCTCCTAGATTGTAAGCTTGAAAGAGCAGGGCCCTCGATCCCCTCATGTTTTGCATTGTATTGGTATTGTTCTGTCACATGTTCTGTCCCCCTTTTGTAATGTACAGAGCTGAGCGAACTATTGGCGCTTTATAAATACTGTATAATAAATAATAATAATAATAATAGTGGAGAACAAAAACAGAGAACACAAACCTTGCGCATTACCTCAGTAAACAGTTTAGTAGATTTCTTGATTTAGGAGATATACTCACAAAAGTAGTAATGAAAACAGGCAAATAAAATCCTAAAGTGCATCCTACAGAGCTCTGATGAAGAAGGGACCCCCTTTGAAACGCGTCAACGTCATTCTGAAAATTTCCCCTTCAGATGGGATTCACATGTGTCTCCTTATCGTAGGATGCACTTTTTGATTTTACATGCCTGTTTTATTATGCTCACAAAAGTAGTAATAAAAAACAGGCATGTAAAATCAAAAAGCCTATGCTACGATAAGGAGACACATGCGAATCCCATCTGAAGGGGAAATTTTCAGAATGACGTTGACGAGTTTCGAAGGGGGTCCCTTCTTCATCAGAGCTCTGTAGGATGCACTTTTGGATTTTAATTGCCTGTTTTTATTACTACTTTTGTGAGTATATCTCCTAAATCAAGAAATCTACTAACTGTTTACTGAGGTAATGCACAAGGTTTGTGCGCTCTGTTTTTGTTCTCCACTACAGTTTGTATCAAGCTTCCCCAGCTTTGTATTGGAGAGCTGCACAGCCTTTGATTTGTCTGAGATGAACTTCCATACACCTTCATACTATATATACACACTATTGATCCACCGGCCCTCTACTGATCTGGGTCCCTGAGTGCAGGAGGTGTTGTATCTGTGTTCTCCCTGGTATTGACCCCTTTGAAGCACTGGAGAAGTAGTTTTTTTCAGTCTTATATAAATAACACCCAAGAGCACTCTTCATATACAGAATTCTCATACAAAGTAACCCCACTTTAAATAGAGTTTGTATAGCCAAAACGTTTCATTTTTATGCTTTGCAAGAGTAAGAAGAGATTAAAAAAACGTCCACCCGGAGGGCCGAAAGACCCGCCCGGCTGTCAATCTGCGGTTGGCCATGTGGGAACCACTTAAAGCAGTGTTAAACCCAAAACATTTATTGTATTGCAGTTTACCAATTCTTTGATGTAATGGCTGCATTCGTTTTCCTTTAGACTATTTTCATCTGGTGATCTGGTAGCAAGTTTGATGTTTTTCAAAAGCTCAAAACGCCCCAGCACAATGTTTCAGCTTGCATAGATGAGACAAACCATTTAACACTGGCAGAGGTGGTTAAAATGATCAGCTTTTATTTAATTAATTATGGTAAACCTTTACTCCCCCCCCCCCCCAAAAAAAAAAATGTTAGCTGGCTTTTGGCTTCAATCTGCTAATAGATTTAACATTCTCCTCCCCCAAGACTAACAATGCTGAGGATGTTGTTGTCTGCTGTGCCTCCTGTGCTCAATAATACAGGAGGTGTGTTACTGGCCAGATCACCAGGTGAAAAGGCCAAATAAAAAGAAAAAAAACAGATGTGTCCACCACATCGAATGACTAGTAGGCTGCAATATATGCACTTTTGGTTTTGGGTTTAATACCACTTTAAGCTGGCCATAGATCGGTCATTTTTAGCAGGGTGCACAAAAGAAAAAAAACAAAAACCACCACACACCACAAATGAATTCCTTCATCCACGCAAGCAAGATGGATGGTGGATGGTGGATAGTGGACATTTTATTCTGACAGAAGGATTTTCTCATCAGCAGCTGCAGCCATTGATCGACAAAAGTGTTTCAACATTCCCGCACCGTAAAAGATGTGGGTGGGGGGGGGGGGGGAAGAGCTAAAAAATCTCACCTGAGGAGGGGGTTAATCCTAAATTGTTGTTTATTGAAACCTCATCCTTCCTATCTTGTGCTCTACTAGGTATTCATGACTGTTGCTTTTATACTTTTGCACTGCCTTTTTGCTGACCGGTCATTGGTGTGCCGTTAGTGGCGATATACTGTACCCCTACTTGATTACCATTGTTTGCACCATTAACCAAGACCTATGTGTATCCTATATATGTATATTAAATGCACATTTATTTTATGTGTGAGCTAGTCCACTTCAACTTTTGTTGTCATCTATGTCAACTAGAGATACACTGAAATTTCAGCTGCCGATAGGAAAAATTTAGCCAATACAGGTGCTCATACAGGGGACTGTGTGTACTGCAGATGTGGGAGGGTGGTAACAGCGGAGAAAGGCAGGAGAGGAGCAGTGTATACAGTGACTGGCTGTGTATATGTCAGTGCCGGTTTTTAAAATGTAATTACCGGCTTTTTTTTTTCCTGCACTATATCTCAGAGAATAGCTCCGGGGAGAGTGACAGCTCAAAGAAGAAAAAAAGCCGGCAATTACATTTAAAAACAAACAATGACATTTTTAAATGTAATTACCAGCTCTTTTTCCCTTTACTATAGCTCAGAGGAGCTGTCATTCTGGAAGGACTAAAGGAAACAATGGGGTGGGGTCACCCAGTGACCCGCCCCTTTGTTTCCTTTAGCTCTGGGGAGAGTGACCGCTCATTCTCGGAGCTATAGTGAAGGGAAAAAAAAGCTGGCAATTACATTTAAAAACCAGCACTGACATATAGGCAGCCAGTGAGGGAGCCTCTCTGTATACACTGCTCCCTCACTGTATACACTGCTCCTCTCCTGCCCCCTCCTTGCACACACTGCCTCCCCCCTTACAAAGAGGACCTGTCACTTATATGCCATCACATAGGGGACTACTGGTCCCCTATGTGATAGCAATAGAATCATAAGTTAAAAAAATAAATAAAAAATTACATTAAAAGTAGAAAAAAAAAAAAAAATACAAAAAGAAAAAAATTGGAGCCTCCCCACCCTGATATACGCAGACATTTCGGTTTGGTTTTCGGCCACGTGCATTCTGAATTTTTGGTATCGGTTTCGGCACCAGAATTTTCATTTCGGTGCACCACTAATGTCAAGGGTATGATAATTGATTTATATACGCATTGTATGTGTTTTTAATTAGGTGTACTAAATACATTTGTAATATATGGAAGTTATGTTAAGTTTAAGTGACTTATACTATATTGCCAAAAGTATTGGGACCCCCTTCTAAATCATTGGCTTCAGGTATTCCAATCACCTCCGTGGCCACAGGTGTATAAAATCAAGCACCTAGGCATGCAGACTGCTTTTACAAACATTTGTGAAAGAATGGGTCGCTCTCAGGAGCTCAGTGAATTCAAGTGTGGCACCGTGATAGGTTGCCACCTGTGCAATAGGTCCATCCGTGAATACTTGGACAATTTCATGCTCCCAACTTTGGGGGAACAGTTTGGGGATGGGCCCTTCCTGTTCCAATATGGCTGCGCACCAATGCACAAAGCAAGGTCCATAAAAGACATGAATGAGAGAGTTTATGGTGGAGGAACATGACTGCCCTGTACAGAGTCCTGACCTCAACCCGATAGAACATCTTTGGGATGAATTAGAGCGGAGACTGCGAGCCAGGCCTTCTCGTCCAACATCAGTGCCTGACCTCACAAATGCGCTTCTGGCAGAACAGTCAAACATTCCCATAGACACCCTCCTAAACCTTGTGGACAGCCTTCCTAGAAGAGTTGAAGTTGTTATAGCTGCAAAGGATGGGCTAACTCAATATTGAACCCTATGGACTAAGACTGGGATGCCACTAAAGTTCATGTGCGTGTAAAGGCAGGCATCCCAATACTTTTGGAAATATAGTTTATGTTGTCATACAGCACCTTGAAAGTCCCTAGAGAACAAGAGAGGGAATATGCATCTGTTTACGAATTCAGGGATGTAATGTTCAGTATACCCATCATACCTAAAGCATTAGCATCCAATTCAAGTGAAGCAGCTCTCTGTCCAGTACACGTTTATTAATCTTGGATGAAAAAGTCAGAAGACAAATCCAACAAGTACCAGGTGCCCATGGCTCTGACACTCAACGATATCCATATTCTCTAAAATAATCCATACATATTCACTACTTAATGGTCTTGTAATCTTTTTTTCATGAAGCTGGCGCTTGCTGTGTTTTATTCATACATTTCATTATTTTGTTTTATGTAACATTCTCCATGAACTCCCAAACCTTTCCCTGCCCAATTTCGTTTGCATGCAGGGAGCAGCGCACTTTAGCTGCGGTCATGTGCACTGCTCTACGTACACTGCACATCCCATAGTCCATGTTCCCGCAGTATGTAGGGACCATGAGCTATGAAGAATAAACGTAGTCAACCTCTAACAGGAAGTCACATTACAGCAGCAAACAAAAAAAAAGCTGAGGGCAACAGAAGGTACTTTTCTGAGTTAAGAATACTGTACAGTCTATAGTTGAAAACATTTTTTTAAACCTGGCTGTCAGTCGAAGATTACACTGCTACCATTATAGCGTGCATGGTCAATTGTGCATCCAAGACCAGTTGAAGGGGAAGCCCTGGGCCACCAAACAGTGTTGCATTTGTCTTCTCCTATGGACTCTTCAGATAATCATTTGGTGCTCTGTTTATTGATTTTACGTGGCTATCTTACTCTAGCTAACAATTCAGTTCTTTGCAGATGGAAAGAGTAGGTGTTCACCATTCCATTCAGCAGAAATGTTTGTGCTTTGCAAATGCATAAACAATGAGGACCTAGCGATATGGCACTGGAACCTCCCTGTATATACAAAAATATGTAACTGTCAGCAGCCCAATTGGAGGTAGCGGGGGGGAGGGGGTCACCCATGTTGTCTTACCTTAGGCTCAGGGTGTCCTCCTGGTACATCCAGCTGACCTGGTGCTTCTCCTACCTTGAAGCTCCTCTTTAGTAGAACAAACCGATCGTCTTTACACTGTAGAGCAGCTCCTACGCCAAGCGGCTGTGCCAAATAAGCTTGAGTGTCCCCATACTCTCGTCCTCCTCGTTCCTGTAAGGCACTTGCCTCACCTGACCAGTTGGTGCCCAAGAAATCTCTGTAACATGTGAGTGCCAGGTGTAGAGTAAGGCCTCCCCCTTCACTCACATTAGGGTCAATTTCTCCACATTTCAGTCCCTCACTCCATTCTGTTGTTCTGCTTTCAATTTTCAGGGTCTCTTTTTTCCTCTCTGTCTTTTCTTGTTTTTCCATTTTTGGATTTTCTTCAGGCTGGACAGAATGAAGCCTGAATTTTGCTCCATTAAATACCCATGGCTGTTTGCGCTGACGTTCTTCCCAGTCTACGAGAATCTGCTCTTCCAGTGGGGGTGGAAGTTTTCTCCGCTGATAAAGCGGGGAAAGCTGGACATGCACTTTACGTTGGGGGATCCCCTGAGGAATGGGGCTGCAGTACAAGATAGATATCTCAGGATCCATGAGAACTGCAACTGAACAGATATAAAAAAAAATTAACAAAACAACTACATCAATGCAAATGGATGATGATCTACCACCTTCATTCTACCAGGTATTATTACACACAAGTAGAAGAAAGTAGTACACATTCAACACACAAGGACAGACTGCCACTTCACATTACAAATGTACATTAATGTTATACTGTAGTTTAAACAAACAGGATGAGCTTCATTGCCATATTTACCTTGCCTTGGGCTCAGGATGTCCTCCTGGTACAGCCAGCCAACCAGGTGCTTCTCCTACCCTAGGGCCACTGATAAGACAGTACAGCCAGCCATCCTGTATTAGTTCTAAAGGGGGGACCAGGCACTTGACAAGCAAAAGGGCCAGCTGTACTGCCTTGCTGACACTTGTGACTTTTGTGGATCCCCATGCAGTACTGCTGGTTTTTACTCCACTTTCTCCTTTTGGCTGTGCTGCTAGCATCTGCGCCCGCTTCCATCTGCTGTCCGGGCCCCCCTGCCCCACCTTGCAGTGCTGCCGTCTTCCCTCCTCTCCTACTGGTAGCTGAAGGGACACAAGGGGATTGTTTCAAGATAGAGGGGGGCAGTGAATATGTCATATTTACGGGCCCCTTCCTTTCTTGAATGAACACAGTGAGCAATCAGTACTGATCACTCCTGTGTTCATTTAGCAGTTACAGTTTGTGAATGAACAGGAATACACTCAGCATAGAGCACTTCCAATTCATTCAAATTCCAGTGCAGCTGAGACTGCAGAGAAAGGGACTGATGAATCTATGTCCTCAGTCCCTTCTTCTGTCGCAATATTTTTGAACAGGGGTGTCAGGGGGACAGCCTACTGTACAGGGCCCAATGATTTCTAACAGCAGCTCCTCCTCAGTAGAACAAACCAATCATCTTATATTTCAATGGTTTTTATTAATTTTTAAACAGTTTAACACAGGAGCAACAAATCATGAACACGCAGGGGCTATCAATTGCACATAAAAAATTAGAAAAAAAACCGTGCTCTAACACCAGCAGAGCAAAATGTGCGCCCACGCAGGGGCTATTAATGGCACCTAAATAGCAAAAACATTATTATAAACACCAACAGTAACTCAAACTAAAGGCAGCTATCCACTGCCACGCCAAAAACAAACAAACAAAAAAAAGGAAAAGGAAGGAGGAGGAGTATAAAAGAAAAAAGATAACAAAACCAAGAGCAGGGGTCAGAGAACGCCAATACCGAACAACATCACATCCCCAGACTAGCCGGGGGGAGCGTGGGAAAGGCATATTGCAACCATGGCTCCCATATTTTCAAGTCGTTGCAGATAGTAGACATCTGTTCATTCAGCATCATAGTGGTCATATGCACCCCCTGAAGAGGGACAAACGGGCTCTTCCAGGCCTGAGCAATTGTTCTAGTGGCCGACAAAAACAAAATAGGAAGCCAACTTCTGCTGATGAGCCAAGAGGCCTGGTATGGGACAATGAAGCAAAGCATACCGAGCATCCCGGCGTATGGAGAGATGGAATAAGGTGAAAAGCAGGCCAAATACACAAGACCAAAAACGAAACAGTCTCGGGCATGAGCACCAGATATGCAATACATCACCACGATGGACACAACCCCCAAAGCATCGATCACTGCAGGCAGGGTTCGCCTGGTCAAACGAGCCGGAACTCAATAACAACGAAACAATACTTTGTATGCCGCCTCCAGTGTAGTCGTATTAAATAAACATTTAGCTATAAGCGACCAGGCCCTAATCCAGTCCTCCAGATCCACAACTGCCTCCAGGTCGCGCTCCCACTGAACAACATATGAAAGAGAAGTATGCGAGCATCTGTTCAAAGCTGCATAAAGAAGGGAAATAAGTCCCGGGGCGCCTGGACACTTTTGGCAAAGCAGTTCAAAGGCAGATTTCTAGTACGGGAAATCGGAAGTCCCCCGCAGTGAGATCAGCCAATGCCGTAATTGAAGGTAACGAAAAAATTCCACCGGAAGGACATCCCGTGACTCCCGAAGAGAATTCTAGGCAGGGAAGGACCAAGAAGACAAAAAGTGTTGCACCTGCGAAAAACCATTGGCCACCCACCAAGAAAACGTCCTTGGTTGATCTAAACCTGGTAGGAAGAGAGGGTTGTTAGTAATTGGGAGCAAAGGCAAGAAAGGTGACATCAGGCCACTGGAGTAACGTACCGAGTCCCACACTTGTAAGCCATGGAGCAAAATCGGACTCAGTGCCATAGGGCACAGGGCAGGGTCAAGCCATAGAAGCGTCGATGTCGCAATAGGGGCACAATTAGGTAGTTCCAGCAGGACCCAAAGAGGAACGTTTGAGGAAGTGTGCAACATAGACAGAGGGGCAATCTGGCTCCCCTGATAATGCTTAGTTACATTAGGCACCCCAAGACCACCCTGGAGTCTATGAACAAAAAGCGTATTTCTGGAGACTATGGGGTGCTTATCGGCCCAGATAAAAAGCATAATCTTCGCCTGAACCAACTGATGAAAATGAGGGGGAACCCGCACTGGGAGGGTGCGAAAATAGTATAACAATTTTGGCAAGATGGTCATTTTCACTGAATTAACCCATCCTATCCAAGACAGGTAAGGAAATTGCCAAGAATGCACAAGTGAGGACACAGAGCGAAGCAGTGGATAATAATTTGCAGCAAACAAGTCATAGGTGGGGGTCAAGCGAATGCCTAGGTATTCAAGCGATGAGGAAGCCCATTTGTAAGGGAAGTGGGACTGTAGGCACGAAACCAAATCTGAGGCCTAAGTAATATTGAGAGCGACAGTCTTATCCAAATTAATACGGAGACCCGAAATGAAGGAGAAGCACTCAAGAACCTGTTATAAATTTGGAAGCGTAGTCAGGGGATTAGTGAGAGTCAAGAGGGCATCGTCCGCAAAAAGGTTCAACTTGAACTCCTGTCCCGCGTATGGAACCCGCGATACATTAAAATCGGTTCGGAGCGCTAAAGCCAGCAGGTCAAGCGCCAGGACAAAGAGCGCCGGGGATGGGGGCAGCCCTGTCTCGTCCCTCGCCCAATAGGAAAGGGATCCGAGAAATACCCAGCTTATTTAACGGAAGCCGAAGGGGAAGAATACACGGCTTGAATCCAAAAAAGAATAGAATCCTCAAAACCCACAGCACAAACCGCAGATATTCCCAGGATAGAGAATCAAAGGCTTTATATATGTCTAAGGACAATAAGAATCCTGGGATTTTCCGCTGTTGTAGAAAATGTATAAGAAGGACCACCTTGCGAACGCTATCACCCGCCTGCTTCCCAGGGATGAAACCTACTTGGTCCCTGTGGACCAGACTACGCAAACATTTATTGATACGAAGACTAAGAATCTTGCCCAATATCTTCAGGTCGGAAGGCTTGCACATCATCGGTCGTTTTAGGAATCATGGAGATATGAGCATTAAGCCCGTCCAGAGAGGGCAAAGAGCCCTGTCGTAACTCATTAAAATAGTCAGCCAAGAAGGGCGATAACAGGGTTGCAAATTTCTTTTAATAGAGACCGGAGAAGCCGTCGGGACCTGGGGCCACGGTGGACCGTAGAGATTTGATAGCTTGGAGCACTTCCGATACCGTGATCCCGGCGTTGAGGGCCATCTGCGCTGCCTCGGATAATCCAGGAAGTCAGAGATCTTGGAAGAATGCCTCTGTCTAAGCCACAGGGAAGGGATCTGGTTCAGCGTAAAGACGCGAAAGGAAGAAACCAATCATCTTTACACTGTAGAGCAGATCTTGCACCAGATTTCAATTTATATCATACACATATTTATAAATGACCCCTACAATGGTTATTTGTCATATGCACAGCAGATACCTGCTCCTCCTTTTTCTGCACTCTGCCACCTCCCTCATCCACCGTTGAAGCCTAGAGAAAAATCTGTTGTGTGAGAGGGTGTGTGTGTCAGGCTACCTCTTACTTTCACTTTTTGGGTTTTGTTCTTGGTATAGGAGACGTCCTCTTTTAATGTGCATCTAAACCCAAACTGGATGACATTTAGTTTGGTTTTTTTTTTTAATAAAATGCTTTTTGAGGAAAATATATTACCATCCAAAGGTTATTCCATCATGAAATAAAGATTAGTTTTCTAATTATGTAGAATAAGGCTGTATATGTTTTATTTTTTTGGGTAAATAAATTCCATGAATCCATTCACAATGTCATGCTCTTCCAGAGGTTTTTGTAAGATTATTGGGCAGTTTCTCTGCCTACAAGATATTATCACAGATGTTGGTTTACTTTTGCAGTTCTCAAAACTGAATTTGACTCAGCGGAGATCACATGCCTCTTCTTCACAGCAAAAATGTTATAACATGAACAGAGTTAAGAAAAAGACCTTAATCCTAACTTCTACAAACCTATGAATACAGAATCAACCCCTTCAGTGCTAAATTTCAAGACGTTCAGTGAATAGAATAGAAACAATATTTTTCTGATTGTTTGGAGTGGAATAGATCTGCACAAGAAGAAAGTGAAACTAAGTGTGAGGAGGAAGGGGCTGACAGTCTAAGTTTCTTAAAGTATATATATTTTGTTTAGCCAAATTAGTTACCAAACATGGATGTTTGTTTAAGCAAATCACATATGCTGGAATGTTATTGTTTCAGATGAATAAATCTATTTAAATTGTTATTATTAAGGTAATGATTATTTTTCTCCTTCCTAAGTACAACAGAAAAGTTGTCCAAATATGAATGATTAACCTATTAAACTGGGGATAAAAAAACTAATATGAAAAGTTATTCTAAAAATCTTCATCTACTTGCATATTAAAGTTATACCAGCAAGAATTAGTCTTTATGTAGAAAACTAGGATTTAAATCAAGCCTTACTGACTAGTGATTGAAATCGCGATTTGAATCAGTTTGATTTAAATCAAATCCACCCTGATGAAGGCTAAAGCAGCAATAAAAGCCCAAGGTTTTTATTCTATGCATGAAGTTAAACTTTCTGTGTGCAGCAGCCCCCTTAAACTTACCTGAA